GGCGGGCGTGGTCGGCGGCAGCTCCGCGACCTCAATGGGATGCGCCCCCGCGCGCCACGCGGAGGGGGGCGGCGGGCAAGCCATTCGCCTTGGCGACGACCTCCGTGCCGCCATGCACGGCGACGAACGCCGACTTGGGGATGGGCGGCGGCGCCCGCGCGGCGGCGCCTGGAGGTGCAATCGGCGGAACGGACATCGCCCCCAGCCGATGGGGGCCCGAGGCTGCAGCTCGGGGGGCGGGCTTGCACCAGCGAGGCTGCAGCTCGCAGGGCGCCCAATTAAATGGCACAGCACGGCGCGCATGACCACGACACAACAGCGACGAACACGTGCAAAACAGACACATGTGCATCTCAAACCGCACCACCCGCTAACCCGCGATTGAAGCACCACCCGCGAAACCGATAACATCTTGATCGGGGGAGGCAACCTCAAAACGAAAGAATGAACCGTGCAGAACACCATGATCGCACCACCGCGCGCACAACCAATGAAAACACATGCACCGATCAAGCTTCCCACCCGAAATACGATAACATTATGTAGCACATCGTGGTCGGGATGCCGCGTGCAAAGCAACACGTCACAATACCGCATGCAACGCGCTTAAAACGCACTTAAGAAAACGCGCGAGAAAGCCAGAACTGCAACTCACCACGGCCTCAAGACCGCACGAACAAACATGGGGAAACCATCTTAGATTGTTAACGCGCCATAATCGGAATACCCCTTTGCAGCCAATGAGCGTCGCAATATCACATGCAAAAAAGGAAAAACAATACATGTAGCGCATGCTCTCACGAATGCCGCATGCAAAACAGATGGGGAACAATACATGTAAGACATAATGGTCGAAACACAACATCCAAACCTACATGAAACACTCAGCGGGATCAACTTAGAGACCACTCCGATTTCACGAAAAAAAAAAACCAGTGCGGATCCACATCGTGATCGAACCAACACATGTCAACCCACAGAATAAAACAAATGCATCGAGCCAATCACACGCAACAGCCAAAAAAACAATGCATGCGGAACAACACGATTAGACAACCAACAGGAAAGCACATGAGAAAACTGCTTCTGTAGCATACCATGACCTGACAATCATACACAAAAGCAATTCGTAAAAAACAATGACAACTGATATTATAAAAGGCTTAGGTAACCCATCTTAAAATATGGTTAAGTGTTAGCTAACTCATGGTAACTCATGTTAAGTGTTAGCTAGCTCATGTTAAAAATGTGATAACACATGTTGAATTAAGTTAAACTGTGGTAAAACATGTTAAATCATGTTAAATTTTAGATCGTCCTTATAATGCGTTAGCTAACGTTGGCTAAGCTGTCTGAAACTTTAACTTGGGTAAGGGTTTTACATGAGTTAACATAGCTTAGCTTGGTTAGCTCGCGTTATGCGCATACTTACTAAACCAACCGTAACTCTTAGTAACGATGTTAAAACAACCTAAAGTATCTTAACGAGCCGTAAATCACCCTAAATTTAGCTGGCGTTGCTGAGTACTTTTGCGTGCGCTATAACAGGCTATGACAACTTATGGTGGCTTATGTTGTGGTTATACATATTTAACGTATGCTTGTAACAGCTTAGTAAGTAGCTAACTTAACGTAAACCAAGATGCTTCCAAGTGGGCCCGGGAGGGTGGCCCGGGAGGGTGGCTCGGGAGGGTGGCCCGGGAGGGTGGCCCGAGAGGGTGGGCCGGGAGGGTGGCCCGGGAGGGTGGCCCGGGAGGGTGGCCCGGGAGAGTGGCCCGGGAGGGTGGCCCGGGAGGGTGGCGCGGGAGGGTGGCCCGGGAAGGTGGCCCGGGAGGGTGGCCCGGGAGGGTGGCCCCGGAGGGTGGCCCGGGAGGGTGGCCCGGGAGGGTCTTCGAGGGTTGGGCCCGGGAGGCCTGAGGGTGGCCCGGCCCGGGAGGGTGGCCCAGGAGGGTGGGCCCGGGAGGGTGGGCCCGGGAGGGTGGCCCGGGAGGGTGGCCGGGGAAGATGGCCCGGGAGGGTGGGCCCGGGAGGGTGGCCCCGGAGGGTGGCCCGGGAGGGTGGCCCGGGAGGGTGGCCCGGGAGGGTGGCCCGGGACGGTGGGCCCGGGAGGGTGGGCCCGAGGGTGGCCTGGGAGAGTGGGCCCGGGAGGGTGGCCTGGGAGGGTGGCCCGGGAGGGTGGGCCCGGGAGGGTGGCCCGGGAGGGTGGCCCGGGAGGTGGCCCGAGGGTGGCCCCGTCTCGGATCGAGGGTGGGCCCGGGAGGTGGCCCCGGGAGGGTGGCCCGGGAGGTGGCCCGGGAGGGTGGCCCGGGAGGGTGGCCCGGGAGGGTGGGGAGGGTGGGCCCGGGAGGGTGGCCCGGGGGTGGCCCGGGAGGGTGGGCCCGGGAGGGAGGGTGGCCTGGGAGGGTGGCCCGGGAGGGTCCCCGAGGGTGGGGCCCAGGAGGGGGGCCCGGGAGGGAGGGTGGCCCTGGGAGGGTGGCCCGGCAGGGTCCCCGGTGGGGCCTGGGAGGGTGGCCCTGGAGGGTGGCCCGGGAGGGTGGCCCGGGAGGATGGGCCCGGGAGGGTCCCCGACGGGTGGGGCCCGGGAGGGTCCCCCAGGGTGGGCTCGCGCAAGCGCGACGGGAGGAGGAGGAGGGAGGGGGAGGGAGACAGGGGGGAGAAGGATGGAGGGATGGAGGGGGGATGGAGGGGGGAGGGTGGCCCGGGAGGGTGGCCCGGGAGGGTGGGCCCGGGAGGGTGGGCCCGGGAGGGTCTTCGACGAGGGGAAGCCCGGGAGGGTGGCCCGGAGGGTCCCCCAGGGTGGGCCCGGGAGGGTCCTCGAGGGCGGGGGGTGGCCCGGGAGGGTGGCCCGGGAGGGTCCCCGAGGGTCCCGAGGGTCCCGAGGAGGAGGAGGGAGGGGGAGGGAGAGAGGGGGGAGGAGGGAGGGGGAGGAGGAGGAGGAGGAGGGAGGGGGAGGGAGAGGGGGGAGGACAAGCTAGGTGCGCTCGCGTCATATCTGACGTCCTACCCCTCCCATCCATCCCTTACCATGGCGCTGATTTTCTCTATCCGCGGACGCGTGTCGTAGCGGACCGCGGATAGAGTAGTGGGTGGTGGTGCACGTGCGTGCGTGCGTGCGTGTGTGCGTTGTTGTCGTGGTGGTGGTGGTGGTGGTGGTGGTGGTGGTGGTGGTGGTGGTGGTGGTGGTGGTGGTGGTGGTAGTGGTGGTAGTGGTGGTGGTGGTGGTGGTGGTGGTGGTGGTGGTGGTGGTGGTGGTGGTGGTGGTGGTGATGGTGGTGGTGGTGGTGCTGGTGGTGGTGGTGGTGGTGGTGCTGGTGGTGGTGTTGGTACTGGTGCTGGTGCTGGTGGTGGTGGTGGTGGTGGTGGTGGTGGTGGTGGTGGTGGTGGTGGTGGTGGTGGTGGTGGTGGTGGTGGTGGTGGTGGTGGTGGTGGTGGTGGTGGCGGTGCGGCGCGGCGGTGGCGGGCGGATGGGCGCGCGAGAAAAAGGCCCGCGCTGGGGCGAGAACGCCATCCTGAACGACGGAGGCCAAACACCGATCCGAAAATGAGGCCCACGCTGTAGCGGGAGCACGATTCGGAACGATTCGGGAGCAGAAATGAAGCCGGCGCCTCAACGAGAGCAGCATTTTGGGAAAAAATGACGCCGGCGCCTCAGCGAGAGTCGTTCCCCGGGATTTCCCGGGAGTCCTGTGTGTGAAAAAATTACCCCGGCAAAGCAACCTAACAGCGATGTGTAGAAGCATATCTGAAAGCATTCCCCTTAAGATTCAGATGAAAATCCAGTTGTAGAATTCTGCTGTTCTCGCAGTCGTAGTCGCATTCGCGATGACAGTCGCAGCGGCAACGGCAGTCGCAGTCACAGCCTCAACCTCAGCCTGCCTCAGCCTCAGCCTCAGCCTGCCTCAGCCTCAGCCTGCCTCAGCCTCAGCCTCAGCCTGCTTCAGCCTCAGCCTCAGTCTGCCTTCAGCCTCGGCCTCAGCCTCAGCCTGCCTCAGCCTCAGCCTGCATCAGCCTCAGCCTCAGCCTCAGCCTGCCTCAGCATCAGCCTGCCTCAGCCTCAGCCTCAGCCTGCCTCAGCCTCAGCCTCAGTCTGCTTCAGCCTCAGCCTCAGTCTGCCTTCAGCCTCGGCCTCAGCCTCAGCCTGCCTCAGCCTCAGCCTGCCTCGGCCGCAGCATCAGCCTGCCTCAGCATTCAAAATGTGGCCCAGGAACGGAGTTCTGGGAACTAGAAGAACACGAAGTGGCCTACAGTTGGCTCCGGGCATTCAAAATGTGGCCCGGGAATGGAGTTCTGGGAACTTGAAGAGCACGAAGTGGCCTACAGTTGGCTCCGGGCATCCAAAATGTGGCCCGGGAATGGAGTTCTGGGAAGTCGAAGAGCACGAAGTGGCCTACAGTTGGCTCCGGGCATCCAAAATGTGGCCCGGGAATGGAGTTCTGGGAAGTCGAAGAGCACGAAGTGGCTACAGTTGGCTCCGGGCATTCAGAATGTGGCCCGGGAATGGAGTTTTGGAGGTCGAAGAGCACGAAGTGTGTGACTGTTTGCGAAAAACGAGTGCGGCGGCAGCCGCGCCGGGTCCCGCCCCGGGCCCCGCCCCGACCCCCTTGAGGAGTCATGATGCTCTCTTTTGAGACCACTAGAAACCTATCAGCAAGAGCTGTTAGGTAACAGTACGCGGAGGGTGCGCGGCCATCACCCGGACGCCATCAGGGGAAGAGGGAGAGTATTTTCATATTGAGTAATTGTGGAGGAGGGAGGGGGAGGAGGGAGGGGGAGGGAGAAAGAGGGGAGGAGGGACGGAGGGAGGACGGCCATGAAGGGGAGCGCCCACGCCGGGGGGGTCCGGGGGCCGCGATCCAGTCGCGCGATCCGGCCCGCGATCCGATTCGACAGGGTCGCGATCCGGTCCGCGATTCGATTCGGCGAGGTCGCGATCAGGTTCCCGGTTCGATTCGCCTGCGGTTCGCAGCGATCCGGTTCCAGGCGATGCGATTACGATTTCCCGACGGGGGCGCGCGGGCCCTGGCGGGGGCGCTGCCCTCCCTGCCCGGCCTGCAGGAGCTGAGCCTGTCCAGCAACAGCATCGACAGGGACGGAGCGGCGGCGCTGCGGGCGGCCTGGGGCAGCCGGGGCGGCAACTTGTATGTCTGAACCAGGGGAGTGGCGGGAGTTTGCTCCATGAAGGGCTGCGCCCACTTAGAGCGCCAAAGTGCTAAGCAGCAGTGCGTTGCTTAGACAGGCCCAGGGGTAGGACTCGATGCGATACGGAGCTCGTCCGCGCAATATTTGTTTCACTTGCACTGGGCGCGGGTGCTCCAGGATTGGCAAGTTCTTGCCACCCATACTCAGCAAGGGTCCGGTTCGGCGGCGGGCCGGTTCGGTTGCACCGGTTCGGTTTCGGCACCAGTCCGGTTTGTTAGCCGATTCGGTTTTCTTCGGGACGGTTCGGTTTCGGGCGGTCCCGTTCGGGCGTTCGAAAAGTTGGCGCGCCAACGAGTATTGTTGCGTGTTGCGGCCGCGGATTGAACCGCGCACAAAACATGAGCAGGAGTGGGGGGAGGAGGGGGAGGAAGAGGAGGAAGAGGAGGAAGGGAATGGAGAGGGGGAGCGAGAGGGGGAGAGGGAGGAGCGAAGGCAGCGGCGACGATGAAGGCGGCGTCCCGACGGCTTGAGCGCCGACGGCGCCTTCCCCGACGGCGCGATTTCGGCCTCTGGAGGGGAGGTTGTTTTCGAGCCCTGGGGCCGTCGCGCTCGGATGAGCCGTCGCGGGCAAAAATACAGATCGTCGGATATCTAACTGAGGCCGCTGCCTCGCTTCCACCGCCTAGCCGCCGCCGCCCAGCCGCCGCCGTCCTCGCACGTCGCCGTCGTCGTCGTCCCGCGCCTGCCCGAGAGGTCCTGGCCGACCCGGGTGTCCCGACCAGCTAGGGGGTCCAGACCTGGGGTCCGGACCGGGGAGGGTTCGGATGATCGGGGGGTCCGGACCGGGGGTCCAGACCTGCCCTGGAAGACAAAGCCTCGTGGCTATTATTGGGCCGCGCTGGTGCGGAACTGTCAAAACGATTTTCAAGTGTCTGGTCGTGTCTATTTCCATGTCCCGCGCATCATATGTGTTTTCAATGTTTCGTTGGCGTTATGATGGGCACGGTGTCTATCTTAAGCGCTTTAGGCATGTTTAATCATTTTGAACCACGGAATTAAACATGTTTAGCCACGAATATCCACAAAATAGCCACGGCATGACATTTAGCCACGTTTAGCCATATTTAGCCACGTGTAGCCATGTTTAGCCACGGGCACCAGCGAGCGGATTGCACGCCACAGTTGTAGCCACGTTAAACACGCACGTTTTCTAATCCGAATATGTGCGAATGACGGTGTGGAAGTTCTAAGCTGTGTCACAGAGATGATGGTTATCCATTACTTTGGGAAGGAGGAAGAGGAAGACGGAGGAGCAGCCAGAGGATGAGCAGGAGGAGGTACGGAGGGAGAGACGAGGAGGAGGAGGAAGCGGATGAGGGGGGAAAGATGAGGATCAGGAAGAGGAAAAACATATGTGGACGAACAAGGACACCACGACGAATAATGATAATAATAATCGTAAAACGAATGAGAAAAATAAGACGAACAACAGCAAGAACGATGACGAAGACGACGACGAAGACGACGACGACGGCACTGGCGGCGGCGGCCGACGCGGCGGCGGCGACTGCTACGACGATGACGACGTCAGGAGTCAACCACCGAGGTCTTTGCAAGTCTTTCGCTAAGGGATTGTGTTGGAGGCTTCTTGGGGCCATCGGGGGGAGGCCAGTTTGGAAGCCTCTTGGGCCTCTTGGGGTTCTCTTGGGACCTTATTGGGACTCTCTTGGGGCCCTGTTGGGGCCTTCTTCGGAGCATGGGGCCATCTTGGAGGCCATCGATCATCAGAGGGGAGGGTCGCGGATTCCCCTCCCCCTTTGGAGCCCGACATTTGCTTCTTGGCGCCCTATTGGGGCGTTTTTGGGGCGGTCTTGGGCGCTAGTGGGGCCGTGTTGGGGCCTTCCTGGGCACCTCTTGGGCAATCTTGGAGTCACTTTGAAGCCTCAGGGAACCATCGGAAGCGGTTACCTTGGTGTTTGCCTTCTGCCGTCGTCGTCGTCGTCCTCGTCGTCGTCCTCCTCGTCGTCGTCCTCGCCGCCGCCGTCGCCGCCGCCGTCGTCGTCGTCGCATTGGTTTTCGTATACGTCGTATTCCTCTCCATCGTCGTCGTAGTCGTTATGTTCGACATCACCGTGTCAAATTTCCTCCCGCACCCTCTTCCTCTTCTTGCTCCTTCTCCTTCCCCCTCCTCCGCTTCCTCCTCCTGGCGCGATGCAGGTGTGTCTTTTGCGGGGCAATTTGCTTGATCGTGCGGGCAGCGATGTTTAGCGTTTCCCCCGTCTGGGTCGCGGTTGTGAACTAGCCACGATTAGCCACGAAAGAGCCACAGCAACACATTTTTTAACTACGAATAGCCATGTT